CACTCACCTTCGCTGCTCAGTGCTGAAATATGCAATTTCAATTGATTTGCAGCTTCATCCCCCTCCTGGATAAAAGAGAGCCGAACGCTCATTATTATTCCCAAGAACATCTAGACAGGATTCCTGCAATGCTCTTATGCAGAGCTAATTTTGAAGACTGTTCAGAAGCAATGATTGCTGCAGAATAACCTTAGAACTGCAGAACTGGAGGGGACCCAATGGATCATCAAGTCCAACCCATGACAAGGAGGCACAGCGGGGAATTGAACTCCCAACCTCTGGCTTTGCAAGCAGACACCTAAGCCGCTGAGGTAGACAGCATGTCTACAGCTGGTCATGGATCTTGATAATGGATAATATAGCTTTCCATCACTTTCCTTAACCTTAACGCTCAAGAGGCCATTGAACCTATGCAACCGATAAACTATTGCAGTATTTGGAAACTTTGCTCAGATTGCTCTGCACGTCCAAAATTAAGAAGCTGAAAATAAGAACAAGGTCATTTTGACAGTAAAGGCTGCATTCACTTTCATTAAGTTTATACAGAATTTTATGATGCCCTTCATCAGAAAAAAGAGTAGCCTCTGAAATACAACATTATTCCAAACAGAAGAAAAAAATAAGTGTAAAGCATTTTTTTAAATGGAATATAAGCTCAAAGGAACATTCCCACCGTGGATCAACAGTCTCACCTCATTCAGAAATGACTATACTCATCCATTCTTCTTGCACCTTGACTTTCACTACAGGTAAACACTAGGTATAACCCAATTAGCTATCACAGTCCCTCTGTAGTGCACCATTTGTGGTTTGGTAAAAGATAAAGATTATTTTTCTCTTCAGGCAGACAGAGTAGAGCTTATATGTTATTACTTTGGGTGAGAATCAATGCACAAGAAGGATGCATCAATGTGCCTATGTTCTGAGTGATGAAAAGTGAGATGATTTGATATCTGGATTATCTTTCCTTTAGACACAAGGTTGGTTGGTTGGTTTTGTTTTGTTTTTGTTTTTCCTTGAGACACAAGGTTTGTTTGTTTTTGTTTTTGAGATTTTGCTACTTTTTGAAGGAAAGGGACACACTGATAGCAGTATTGTGAAAAGAAAATCTGAAAACCTGATTTTACTGAATAACACTTTTAAAAAACACCACCCTTTAAGTATATAATGCAAACAGTTAAGAGCAACAGAAATCTTTGGGCTCACTATAAAAAGCAGATCAATTTCTGCTAACCAGTTTTCCTTTGATCTCTAAGGAAATCACACTCTCACACATAGGGGAGAGTTCCCATTTAAGCCTGTGTCTTAAGGGAAAAAGTTGTGACAAAATCTGCCTGCCCACCCACCCAAGAGTGCTGGTGTGCTGCTCAAGGGTTTCCCTTAGAAAATCCATTCAAGGATCAGATGTGCTGCTCTTACTTGGGGAAGAGAGGGGTTAAAAGCGTTCACTCCATAGTTGATGTTGTACAATGTCCACTTGGGGGGGGGGGGCATCAAGAAAGTCTTCTGCCTTCCAAAAAGTTGCAGGACTGAGGGGCAAAACTGCAGCATCAGTGAATAATGGTTGTGATCAAGGAGTTGACCAAAAAAGGAGTATCCACCATTTGTTTTCACATTTGAAATAACATTGAAACCAGTCACCGAACCATTATAGTATGGTGGCTAGAGCCGCTGTGTAAGTTCAGTATAACTGATGCTCTATCCTTCTTCATAGGAGTCCAGGGCACCTAACAAAATATCTAGTCTACCCTTATAAGCGCCACACTAAAAATCACAATTTAGTGGATTTGATTACAGTGGGGAATTTTTTAGAGGTGGCTGTATTCCAGGGAAAGGGGAACTGAAGGCAAATAAGCAGGGCTGGGTTCTAGACACGCTGAGATTAATCATTAACCATTTCTGTAGAGCAACCCCACGAAATGACAAAGTCCTGATTTTGGAAATTGTTTCAAAGCAGCACAAAAGGCCACCCTTTCCTATACGCTGCTTTCCAGGATGGATGAAGACAAATTTTCAGATGGGTTAAGGACTTACACAGGTAAATGCGCTCTTTGCATTTTCATCAGCTGCCTGACGCAGGGGAATAAGGTTTCAGCTGAAGGATCCCTTTGCTCACTGTCAGTCTAATGATTCAGAGAGGTCAACTTGGGCAGCTTTTTCCAGGAAGGTGCAAAGGTGTGCACCAAGTAGTAAATAGGGATATGATCTTCCCAGTAACAGCACCTTCTTGCAAGTGGCGTTTGCCTGGGGCCTATACGCTTGCCTTCTCAGTGCTAGGCTAACTCCTCTTTGAATTCCCCAGTTTTATAGAAAAGGCTTTCGGCCTGTTTTATCCAGTCTTTTTAATGTGTGTTGTATGTTTTATCGATTACTTTCATCATTGTACTCTGTTAACACAAGATACCGTGGCTAAAATCTTATGGGCATAATTTTATGCCACACAAGTAAGGGATGACCCTATTACCCTAAAACAGTCACATTGAATTGAACTGAATCAAAAACTTCCCACCACCCCAGTTCAGGTTCCAAGGCTCCCCAGGACCCTCTTTTGTTCTGGGAAAGTCTTTGGGGGCCTTAGGATGGGGGATTGGGAGAGAAAGCCTTTAGTAGCCAAATATTGCAGCTGCCAGTCCTGCCCCTGGGATTGGGGCCACCGTCACGGATCTGGCAGCAGATCCTAGTTGCTCAACTTAAAAGTTACATCAATAGATTTTACCCAGTGACCTGAATCCAATTGTTTGTTCCAACTAAAGTAAATCCATTCAGTCAATTGGGTTTATGTAAGTGCTTATATAAGTGTTTTTAACCAGCACTGTTTACATGTTTACATATGTTTCCATATGTCTGTGCAAACAATGGGGTTTACAGAAGTGTTGACTTGAGCCACTGGGAATACCAATTAGATTTAGGCCCTTCTGATTTTTGTCTTGTGTGAATCACCTCAGATTTCTTAAAAATATACATAAAGAAATAAAAATATGTGATTAGGTTTCCTCATTATTTACTGTCCAAAAATGTCTTCAATTTGTTAGAATCTCACAAATCTGAAGATCTGAAGGGGGAAAAAACTAAATGTAATACCATTCGAGCCCTTAGTACTGGCATGAATGGCTTTTTAGATACAGTTTTGAAGTGCAGGGATCAGGAAAGTGACATAAGAGGGAATCATTTTTGCTTCCTATTCTTGTCCCAAGCTAGAATAGAGATTAGAGTCCCTCCACCTGCTCTTCCTCTAGGAAGCAAAACTCCTGTTCTAGCAAATGGAATATTTTTAAAAATCAATGCTAGTAACAGGAACAGAATGTGCGATCTGGAGTGAGCCCCAGTCTGGGAAGCCAGGTAAAGCCCTGTTTCTGCAACCGCCAACAGTTTAGACCAGGGAGCCCACATAAACCATTCAACTCCCTAAAAAGGTCTCAGTTCTGGTTTAGCTTTAATATTTTGAATGGCAGTCAGCCACCATGCCAGTACCAAAAAACACCAGGGAGGCAAAGAGGAACTTGTTTCTGGTTGGACCAGTTTATCTTGATATAACTCTGGAAATTTTCTATTGACTCAGAACACTTTGGCCAAGAATGGACACATTTTTTAAAATTGAACTCAAATGTTAATTTAGATCTTGAAGATCTAAAACTACGATTTCAGATCTAGAAACATGTAAATCTTTCCTCTGTTCTGAAAGGAAAACAGTGTGGCAAAAAAAGAAGTGCATACAGAGACAATCAGGAAGGAATAACTGAGAATAAATAATATGATGTATCACCAACCATTCTATTCGGCTAAATGCAATGTCTTCCATAATAGCAGTTTTAGAAGAGGTAGCCATGTTAGTCTGCGCTCGCATACCAGGCAAAAACAACAGAAAAATAAAAAGAAGATTAAAATGTTATAATGTGAACATCCATGGACAAGTCCACTTCCACAGGCTGAATCAAAAATGGAAGTGTAAAGGCAATAATTCCCATTATTGCAGGCAAGCAGAATTTATTCAAATAAGTACATGGATTGTATGTGTTGAGGAGAGAGATAATACATATTTTAAGTCTAAAAATGTCTATGTATGATAGCAGATTGAGGTAGCAAGAGAGACTGGAATATGGGTGTGTTGAACTGTGCCAGGACGTTTGTTCAATATTCACTAATTGTTTTGTAAAGAATTTTGTAGTCTGAAATATGTCTTTATTAATGGCTGTGAAAGAAGGTATAGGATGGTTACCAAGTTCTAACATAGTTCGGTCGCAGTAATGCTTGTCCCGGGATATTTTGAGAAATCGTTCCCTCATCTGAGCTGGTTGCAAGTGCATTGCAGCGAGTGATCAAATATAACTGCCTTAGTTTTGGAGCTATTTGTATGTTAAGATAAAGAGGCAGATCAAATTAGGTAGAATATTTAATTCCCAGATGAAGTGTGTGTGAAATATGCATCAGCAAAAGAGCAGTTCCTCAAAAAATGGCTATTGAAATATTCAACCTTCTTGGATACCTCAAGACTAAAATTACTCATGAGCAGTCTTTGCAAAAAATGTGTTGTAGATGTGGCAAGTTTCTGTTTTAATGTATTTTTAAACTCTAAAACTTGACACAGTGCATGGCCTATAGGCCACTAAACCTAAATAAACTTGAAACTTGAACTCATTAATGGCTGGGAACATAGCAGCTCAAAAATATTTTTGGTACTACAACGACCATTCATATTGGCTGAAGGATAATGGGAGCTGCGATCCAAATAAGTAATGTTTCTAAGCTCTGTAATCAGATCTAAGCAAAGATCTGAAGGGCTGTATGACCCAGGGCCAAATTATATATTAACCATGTAGATGTAAACAACATGCTGTTCCTTTACAAATGGAAGCCATAGGTAGTAGGATGAATAAAGTTAATTTTATTTATTTATTATTTATTTTATTAGATTTATACCCCCCCCCATCTAGACAGATAGTCTACTCTGAGCAGCAATGTCTGACATCTTAATATTCTTCCCTAGCTGGAGGATGTAACTGCTTAATATGTAACAGCCCAGCAGAAAACAGGTTGGTTGAGGAAACTGGCTAAAGCTGTAAACTGCTGGAACAGGCACAATGATTGAAAAGAGCTGGAAGTTACTTTTTGCAACTGTAGTTCCCCAAAACCCCAAATGGCCCAACATATCTAGAGGATTTGGAGAGGTGTATTCTAAGAGACTAACATTTCAAAGGCACGTAATGGTTAATGAACAGCCTCTGCTCCTAGCTTGCTTGGCCTTTAGGTAGCCTCATGATTCGTAGCAGCAAAGAGCTAAAGTTTCTACCATCTCATTCTCCTCTTTCATGTGAAGGAAGAGCTCTGATTCAGAGGCCGTTCTTCCCTATCTACGTGCTGCTGGGTGTTTCTTACTTACTGGTTTTCATTGGCTTTGTGGTGTCCCTCTCCAAAGGTACGTTTCTCCTACTATGGTCTTAAATGAGACTCTTTTATCTGTAAAAGAAAGAACAGAGTGAATGTTTCCATTTTTCTCCTTTGGCTTGAACAGTGGTTCTCCAACTCCAGATAGTTCTGATGTCAATCCAGTGCCCCCAACCAATGTGTCAATCTTGAGGGATGTTTGGAACATCTGGTAGGCCAACGCTGGAGGACCATTGATTTATTTATAGGCCACTTTATCTACCACTAAGGGACTGAGGTTTATTAGAGAAGCACAAGCAGAGCCAAAATGAGAAATATATGGCCTCCAGATGTTATTCAACAGCAATGCCCACCCATCTTGCCCACATCGCCAGTGGGGAGGGATGACTGAGTGGTAGTCCAACAACATCTGGAGTGCCACTCATTCCCCATCCCTTTTGGATCACACCAAACATCATCTAGTTCAGCATATCCAGTTCTGTGCGTTCATTCCCCATCCTTAAGAAAAACCCTTTTTGGATCACACCAAACGTCATCTAGTTCAGCATATCCAGTTCTGTGCTCATGCTTGTGAGCCTGTTTCCTCCGGGAAACCCACCAGCAGAACATGAGTATGGGTGCACCCTCTAGTTCATGTTCCCCAACAGTTAGTATTCAGAGATTATGATATATAATAGCCTTATACTCCATGAATTTGCCTGGTATGACAAAACCTGAAATGTGCATTGACTCCAATGCAAGATGAAATAGCTCTGTAGGGAACTGAATAGCACAACAGAGGTGTTCTTACAAGGCAGTGAACCTGAGCCCTGCCTACAGATGTCTTGGAGATTGACTGGGACTGAGTAAGCCCACACATGCATTGTGGTATGATTCAGATTTTTTAAAAAAATAAATAAATACCCTGTGGCATGTTAGTATAGAAAATAATAAAATAACTATTTTTTTATAATAGGACAAATTTGCAAAAAAACAGATGGGATCTTCTTCTTATTATTGTTATTTTCATTTTGAGGAGATGATGGGGTGAAACCAAGAGCCTCTGATCAACCCCAGGGTGGAGCAATAGACCTCTGGATATTTAGTGTTCTGTGTGGCAGTAAGAACGTTTTAAAAGAAGCTCAGCAATTTGAACTGAGGAAATGGGAAGTATACACGGTCTCCATAGGCAATTGCTGAGATCAAAGGAAAAGGCAAGAGGCAGCTGAACCACCCAGTCAAGCCCAAGATCTTCCGTAGACATCTAGATCGCTGAGATGCTAGTCAGGGTTCAGACTGAAGTCATGGCATGGTGTAAACAACCCTTTGCAGGCGCTCAGTCAGCCATTTCATGGAGGTACAAGACAAAATGAGGGGGTTCCTTTTATTATGCAGATTAGCCTTTGTGTGGAGTACTGTATCTCCTGAAAGGTACATGGCAGGTCATCCCTGATCTTTGAGTATAGACCCGGTTGCGGGGCTTCTGCCCATGCCTGACCTGCAAACTCAAGATGGTATGGTCTAGTGGTTAGGGTGCCGGACTAGGACTTGAAAAATGCAGCTGCTCATCACCACTCGCTGAGTGATAATGAACTAGTCATTCTCAGCTTATCTCACAGGATGGTTGTCATATGGATAAAACACACAAGATGACAGCTGTGAACCCCATTTTCAGTTCTGCAGAGAAAAAGTAGGATAGCAATACGATTAACAAAAATGATCAGTTTGTGCTTCTGGGTTGGTCAAGGTTTTAGGTCTCTGGCTGGAGAGCTACAGGTTGGGAGTTTGATTCCCCCACTGGACCTTGACAGGGGCTGGACGTGATGATCCATAGGGTCCCTTCCAGCCCTGCAAATCTAAGATTATTAATATTAAAATTACAAAAATGAAAGTTCTTTTTAATGAACTTTTAAAAACCAATATCTGTACTCATACCCAAATTCCAGCAACCAGTCCAAATACAGCACATTGTTTCTGCAAAAACACACATACACACAAGGTTTCTAGCAATGATTCGAAGCTCAAACCCAAGGAACATGCCAATGGCAGAAAAATGGCTTAGAGAGTTTATGTTTCCAATGTCAACTGGCAAACCTTTACAACACACAGCAATTGGGAGGGGGGGGGTTGATTCTTACTGGGCACCTCTCCTCTTCCTTTATCATTCCAGTCGCAACAGTTTCCTCCGAACTCCACAAGATGCACGCTCAGGCTGCAAAGGAACCCTTTGGCCATGATTCCCACTGTGAGTAGTATCTCTCTCCCCCTTTGCAAGGAGGAGGACCTTTTCCACAATCAAATCCTTCTCCATAGTTCCGCCATGTGCAAAGTCAAAGGATGAAGTTTGGCACCAGAGGGCCACTGGTATAGTTGGGGATTGCAAAACTCATCACAACAGTTTCCATCACCATTTCCCTAAGAAGGCTCCAAGGTGTCCGGCGGTTGCATTGAACCCTATCGGGGAAACAAGTTCCATCCATTTCCCTTTCCAGAAAAAAGCAAGTCTTTGACAAAGCTAATGGGGTCTTAATTAAGAAAACCAAGAACAATCCCCCCCCACCCGCAAATAGTTCAGATTACAGGAGGGATAGCAACCAGTAGTAGATTATTGCAGGGAAAAAGCCGTGTGGATGATATTAGGATTGCATTTAAGCTCAGAGGGGAGAAGGAAACCTGAGAGGGATGGCAGATGATGCCAACATTCCTGCTAAATCTTTAAAATAAATAAATAATTAAAAAGTGCAGTGCCTTAGTCTCGCCAGGCCTAGCTTAGCTGCCATGTCTTCACAAATGGCACTCCTGACTCACCCTGATCATCCATCAGTCTTCACATGGAACCCTCTTTGTTCTTTAATTTTTTGGGGACTCTAAATGCCAGAGTTCCCCAGGCAAACTCCTGGGAGTTTCTGCTCACAGAGACCTGCTTTTTCACTTATCTGGAACAGGACCTATTTCTGAGTCTGCATGGCCTTCTCCAACCTCAGTTCCTCTTGAATTTAAAAAAAAGAGGAAGCAGCCATGATGCATCCTGGGAGTCGTAGTTTCACTGCTCATTAAGCTCTATAAGGAATGCCTCCAGAAGAACTATGATTACCGAGACATTCCACAGCAGCTTCCTTTTTTTTACATTAAGAAAAAGACCATGTAGCCACAGAGGTAGGATGTGGTGAGTGAAATGCAGACATCTTGTATGCTGTGGGCAGAAACTCTCATAATTCTGCTTGAGGAATCTGAAAAAAAGATGACACCACATTCTGTAATCTCATGTAATTTGTAATTTGACCCATGGAACTAGTAGCATATTTCGACACTCTTGTCTTTTCCTTTCGTCTCCACAGTGTTCCCATGTGGTACTGATACCAGACAATGGGAATATTCCAATGGAAAATGCTACTACTTCTCCCTGAAGGCTATTCCCTGGCACCAAGCTAAGGCAGAATGTGAAAAGCAACAGTCACAACTGGCTGTCATTAAAAGTTTAGCAGAACAGGTAAGAAGAAGGGGCACCCACTATCTTTGGGCAGATCCCCATGGAGGGGGCTTCCCATCAGAGCAAATATAATTAAGACCAAGATGGTGTTCCATTTGTCTTGGACAAGTAGCCCACAGGGCACACCTGAGCAACAACATTTCCCCTTTCTTTCATTCTTCCGACTGTCACAATCAACCTAACAGCACCTTTGCTTCTTCTAAGGTAGGGGGTGATGAACCTATGATCATTCGGACCAGTTGAACACCAACTTCCTTCATCTCAGGTTACAGGCTATAGTTGTTGGGACTGATGAGAGTTGGAGTCCAACAACATCTGGATGGGTTCTTCATTTAATGGCCAGGACGTGCTACCCACCTGCTTCCCAATTTCCTTGAGGGAGGGTTGAGGAACTGTTTGCCTTCCAGATGTTTTGGCCTACAATCCCATCAGCCTGGCCATTGGTCAAAGATTGCGAGAGTTCCAAGCCAAGAAATTGGAAGAATCAAAGGTTCCGCAGTCCTACTGTTGGGAAAGAGCACCAAGATATCCTAATCCTGCAGGAGTCCAAAGTGAGAAATCCAGAAGGAGTTTCCCAGGCTGATCAAAAGCACTGATGGTCATCGAGTTCCTCCTTCTCATTTTTAAAGATGGAGAAGGTGCTCTGAGTCCTTCAGTGCTTCCACCAGGCAGACCAGTTACTAGACTTGATACATGTCTCTTTGGCATTCTGTTGCCAAATCTTGGATTATGCATTTAAAGAATGCAACAGTTCTATATATATATATCTCAAAGAAAACAGCAGCACCAACAACAGTCGTACTCATTTCTTTGCAGCCTTTTCTATGACTTTACAGAGCAGGGTTCATGTGAGGCAATAAATTGCACAAGGTCCAGACTGTAGGGAAAAAAGGCCCCGATTCTTGTCTCTGACAAAATAAACCTATATCAGTGTCATCCCCCTTTCCAAGCAAGTTCCTTCCAATACCTCTGAATGGTCTCTACATCTTTCACTGAGAGCATAGAACCTTCAGTGAGGGAGCTCTCCAGCAGCTGGCCAACTTGAAAAATGTCCCCAAAGCCCAAAAGAGTTGCCTACCTTTGATCTAACTAATCCAAGAACTTTTGTTTGGAGGATATATTGAAGAGGAGCCTGTCAAAAATGTCATCATGTCTGGGAATGCTTTTGCTCAGTGGTTTCAGCCAACCAGACATCTTCTCCTTTTGGATGCTTCATTCTCTCTATTCCACCCCAAATTTCCAACTTCCTTTTTCCTTATCCCATTCCAGGATATAAGAAAATATGCTCAGTCCTCATTTGGCTTGTGTATTTTCAAGGGTTAAAAGAAAATGGCCCAGCTGCATTCACTGGATTTACTTTCTTGCAGAATTTCCTACAGACCCGGACCAGAAATGAGAGGTTTTGGATTGGCCTCCATGACCTCCACACTGAAGGAGAGTGGAAATGGTTGGATGGTTCCAATTATATAACAGGCTTCAAGTAAGCAATGAGAACTCCTTTAAGATAATGAGCAGTAGATGTCTAGGGATTGCTATACAATCCATTGTGTTTGCATTCTCATACAAGATTATCCGAGTCACAACTTCTTGGACCCCAACACAATTTGTGGTTAGCAGTCTGCATCATTCCTGAGTAATCTAGGCCTGCCTCATTAAGTATCATGTTTTAAGCTGGGCAATTCATTTGAATGCATTGAGAAGGAATGTTAAGGAATCAGATTTCAGAAACAGTGGCATAGGCTTCCTGATTTTTTTATACAAATAGGTTCAGTGAATTCTAAACTATTAATATTTCCAGTTCATTAGAGCAAAAGACAGAGACATATTGCTTCCATTGCAGGAACTGGAAGACAGGGGAACCCAACACTTACCTGAACCAGGATGAGGATTGTGGCCAACTTTGGATCAATGGACAATGGAATGATTTCGTCTGCACCTCCAACTCCTATTACATCTGTGAGAAACCCTTGCCGAAAGCGACCTGACCATTTACTATGGTATTCCCAGAAGCTCCTAGAAAATGTGAATGGCTGCAAGATCCACAGTTGAACAAATGAGGCCAAAAGAACATCTAACTTGGGCTGTGACTAACAAATGAGGCCAAAAGAACATCTAACTTGGGCTGTGACTACACTGGCAAGCTGAATCAGGGCAATTAAGCTTTGCTGTGGCTTGATTCGCAGCCGGTGTTCTATGATACAATTCAGAATAAATGATCACTCAGAGACTGAAGATTGTTTTGGTGCCAGTGTCCATACTGGTCCGTAAACCTGACATAGTTTGATTCACGCCAGAGCCCACAGTTCCCCTTCCTTTGATCCTGCCTTCTGCCAATCTCCAGGCTCTCCTTTTACAGTTCATTGTAAAGCTGGTGATCTGTTGCAAAGCACTAGAGAAAAGGGACAGTTTCCCAAAGTTCTCCATAACATACAGACCCATGCACATATACCACAGATATATAGCAGCCTGCTGTAGTTCACCAGAGTTGTTTCTATTTCATATCAATTTTTATCTTTTCTATGTGTCCATGCAGAGATGATCTAGTGCTGAACTTTTACATCAATGTAGTGATAAGGTGATCTAGCGCTAAACTCTGGACAATTAGGGAGAAAGATTGTGGGTATGGGTGTTTTCACTGTCCAAAATGTTATGCTCAGCTTAGCATGTCACCAGAATACCACCCACGGTCACTGCTCCATCCTTTTGGAGAATGAAATAACTGATCATGTGCAGAAAGGTCTATTCACATTGTTCCAGCTTAGCAAAAAAAAAAAAAAAAAGGTAGAAGCCGACAATGGCAGAGAGAGAAAAAACCTCTCTGCGTTGGGAGCAAAAAAACACAGCTGAACTGATTCTAATTGGCCTTTCTGTCATATGATTACTTTTTTAAAAAAGCAAATTCATTGGTTTTACAGCCACAGCAAATACCTCAGTATTTGACCATGTAGTTGCAGTGCTGATTAGGAAAAAAATATTTTGTTTTGTTTTAAATTCTTCAACAGACTTTAAGATTAAAAAAAAACACTCTAGTATCTTCTTTGCAGGCAGCAGGGCGATGAATCACTAACGCTGGATAATTTGGCAAAACTGCACCTAAATTGAAAGACAGGGTGTCTGGTATCATTTCCTAAGCAGCCATTCCTAGCAAACAAATTGGGGGGGGGGAGCGGAATTAAGGATCAAGCAAATATGGTATTTTAAATACAATAAACCATCCTATAAATGCTTATTTATTTATTTATTTATTCATTCATTCATTCATTCATTCATTCATTCATTCATTCGATTTATATCCCGCCCATCTGGTATGTTCTACCACTCTGGGCGGCTGCTATAGTTACCTTATTTTCTTTATTGAACTTTGTAAAAATTGTTACTTTGTGCCATCTAAATTGCTTCCAACTTAAGGTGACCCTATTAGGGTTCTCAAATATATGAGCAAGTCCTAAGAGTGGTTTTACCATTGCCGCCCTAGTACATCTCCATAGCCAAGCAGGGATCTGAAGCCAGGTCTTCTGAGCCCTAATCCAGGGCTCTGTCCACTATACATACTGTGCCTGCTACAAAAATACTTACAGTGGACCCTCAACTTACGGAATTAATCCGTATTGGAACGGAGGCTGCAGGTCGAAAAGTCTGTAGGTCAAGGCTCCATTGACCTACAATGCATTGAAAACTGGTTAATCCCGTAACCAGCCGTTTTTGTTCCATTTTGGTTTTTTTCCTGGTCTGTAGGTCGATTCTCCAGCTGCAAATCGAGCCAAAATTTTCAGCCAGAGAAGTCTGTAACTTGAAAAGTCTGTAAGTGGAGCCATCTAAGTTGAGGGTCCACTGTACATTGAAATATACCTGTCTCACACACAAACATTTCTCAGCTGCATTTCATATGGGTGTGATAATAATGGTATCCACTCACAGGAAAGGAACAAAGTGCTCCGATGAACTATCAGAGTCTAACCATTAGAAGTTAGATCAGCTTCCCTTTCCTTGGGCTTTGTGGCTAATCATAACATAACCAGAAGATGGGCAGAAACCTCTGGTTTGGCAGTTTGTGCTGGTTCGCCCGTCAGTGTGTTCCATGGCTCCAAGCCCCGCCTCCTCCAACAGGCACCCAGTCAGAGGCAATATATGGAGGAGGTGGGGCATGGAAGCCAGGGTGCTGCCTCTGAGTGGATGCCCACCGGAGGAGGTGGGGCTCAGAACCTCAGAAGGCGTGTAGGACCAAAGGATGAACTGGCACAAACCACCAAGCCAGCTGTTTGTGTCCATCTCTAGTTAGACCAGGGGTCTCAAACTCAATTTTTCTGGGGGCCGATGGTGGCAGAGTCTGGGCGAGGCTGGGCCACATCAGATTTTCCGCCAAGCAGAGCAAGAGCCCGAGGAAGCCGCCCAGGAGTTTCCTTAGCCCAGCTGGGGCTCCAAGGAGGAGGAGGAGGAAATTAAACAGAACAGGGCGGGGCCCCCACAGGTGCATGTGGGCACATGTGTACGCACAAAAACACACACACACACACAGAGGTCCGGCAACCTTCCTCTGAGGGCCCCCCTCAAAAAAGGGTGCACTCAGCAGCAGCACCTACCCCCACCATGACAGAGGAGCAAACTTTGCGAGGCGAGCCCAGGCAGCC